AGTCTGTTCTGGTTCTTAGTTCTGATACAGAGCCAATATAAAGCACAGAAGTCAAGCATTACTGAAAATTAATTCTGCTGCATGCTTTCCCCCCACTAACTAGGCTTCCCCCCCCCCCAGTTTTGGCTTCTTTGGATCTTTAATTTTTCACATGTTCATGGCCTTCTAAATGCTGCAAGTTTGCCCAAACTGAGAAAAGTTCCTTTCATGTCAGCTTATTTTTTGGTATGGCAAGGTACTGTATTTCTATACACAGACCCATTTTTTGCATGTTTGCTGCAAAAGTTGGAGGAATCTGAAGCAGAAAGAAAAGTCAGTTGCTGTGTTTGCAATGCCCTTGCTAGCATGTTGCAAGGGAGATATGCCTGGTAGAATCCTAGATTGTATTCCAGGACCAAATGCCTCAAAATGTTCTGTATTTTGCAACTCTTGGAAGTTCCTTCCCAAATAATGCAGTTTGATCCCAGTTTAATTAAGTGCTGTAACTCCATTTTATGGAATATTGGGATTTGTAATTTTACAAATTTTACAGGGTCTTTAGCCCTCTCTGCCCAAGAATGCTGGTGCATCACAAAACTACAAATCCCAGAATTCTGTAGCATGGAACCTTGGCAATTCCAATGATGTCAAACTGCATTATTTCTACAGTGCAGATGCACCCCAAGTTTTAAATGTGTGTATAAATTATTTAAGATATTTAATAGCACCTCACAGCCCATAAGGGCTTTAAGATATTTAATAGCACCTCCCAGCCCATAAGGGCTCCAGCAGCAATCAACAAGTAAAAACAAATTTTAAAAATTAAAACCAAACAATCTCAAACATTAAAGCCCATGTTGAAAGGTAATGTTTTGGCTGCCTGCTAGAAGCTCAACAGAGATGGACTCAGCTTAAGTTCCTTGGGTAAGAAGTTCAACAGTTGGGGTGCTGCCACAGAGGAACTCTCTGTAATGCTGAAAAATTACTCCAAGGGAATAAAGGCAAGGTAGCAATAACTCCATACCCTGTCTTAAATATTTATGAATCATTTTGAAGTAACTTCCATGTTTTAATTTAAAGTTTCTGTCATGCAAATAAAAATCCATGCTTGATTAGTCACAATATATCGACGACTTTGTGTTCCTCCACAACTAACATTTTTACATTTCTTTCTTTCTGGTCTAGAATGTATATTTATGATTTTGACCACTTAATTATTGACATTCCAAACATTTTGATGCAAGTTTTGTACATATCAACAAACTTTGGCTTTTTCCAGAAAACACCTGACTTTGGTTCACCTGACATAGAATTTGGTGTGAGACAAATTTCAAGGACTATAGTTGCTACAATACTCCCTCTCCCTATATCCAGATACCCCATATCATGCCCTCTTCTACTTTCCCCCCTCCCCAGGAGGAATCTCCCTTTTAGAATATATTTAAAAGATTTTCTTTTCAGGATTTGCAAACCTCTGGTTTAACACAAGTCTGCTGACACTTCCCTCTAAATCCAGTTTTAAAAGTTCTAAAAAGAAGTTAACAACTGCAGGAGCCACATTTCACCCCATGATTTCCCAGAAAGGTTGCATCATTCACAGATACCCAACCCAGAAGTGCCCAGTAATCATCTGAGGGAGAGACACTAGGCCCAGCACCATTGGGCCTGGAATAATAAGAAGA